CAATATATGTAGGTTGCCTGATTATTCGGTCCAGAGGGCCTACCTTGCGAGATGTAATGTGGGGGCGTTCAAGACCCGGGTCGACCTACAAATCCAGCGCCATCTCGTCTAAATCGCGGGGGTCAGTTCTGGTACTTCCCTTGTCAGCGTGTATGAGAGAGACATTCAAGTATCAGAAACATCTCGGCCTGGATCCTTACTCATTTTGGAGCATATCGATGGTGGTTGAGACGCCGGGATTGATTCGTCTTGCCCCCTCGGAACCGCGGATAGGGACCGAGAGAACCGATCGGTTCCGGATCCGAGAAAATCGGCCGAAACCCGCGGTTCCAGAACCTCGGGTAGGAACCGCTGGAAGCCCTACTCGTGAGCCTACGCAAGATTCAAGGGATTCCGCCACTCGGAGACTCGACAAGTCTCGAAAAACTCCAATAATCGAAGGTTTGTTTGAAAATGTAAATACCCTTCGAGCAAGATGATTCCCATCGTATTTTATTCCGGGGCGAGCCCTCAAACAGAAACGAACGGAGGAGCGGCGCGCGAGGCAAATCCTCCGAAAAGCTTGATCGGCTCAAGCAAGACCTTCGAAAGGTGCGGAAAGGCCAGCGCTGAAGCCATCTTCGCTTCGACTGCGATGGTAAACAAAGTGTACAAATATCGTCAGGACTTGAGCCAGTGGAGCCGTCCGCAGGTCCATCAGAATCGACTGGGGAGATCCTTATCCTTCTCTTTGTTTTCATGTCGTCGAGCTCGCTGACGATTGAGCCGGGGATGAAGACTGCGATGTTCAAGCTGATGACGACGAAAATCTGTTGGACACAGTACTCCCGAGCATGCCATCGGTGAAGATAAACGCTCGATGAATCGTTGTAGAGGCAGCGACATTCAATTCATCCCGACGCGAAGCGCGTGTAATAGATAGCACCGTCTTCGAAAGTCTCTCTACGAGGGTCCGACGGCACCCTACTCATGGAGAACATCGGTTCCCTCTTCGCGGGGAGATGAACAATCGAGTAGACAGCACTTATCCAATATACACAGGCACAGGTATCAGGTCAGACAGTTTTATTATTCGGGTGCGCCGGACTCTTCTCAGGCTCCGAAAGAAAGATCGCTCGCAGGGGATTCTCGAAAATGGAAGAGCCTCTTTCGACGAAGCCGTTTCTGTCTGGTGTAAAAACAAACGTAAAAAACAAACGTAAGACTGCATTATCCCTACACAACAAGAGCACGGATCGAAATGCTTTCGGCTTTCCAGCCCAGAGGACGTCATCTCACAAGCCAGCGATACGGAACAACAATTAGGGATGCTCTCATAAGAAGGTCCCTAACTCCTTGCATCTCGTAAAAGGCTGCACTTGGACCTCGCCTAAGGATTTATTAGATCGATGGCTTTCCGTGACTCTCATGACGCGATGTTCCGCGAGCAAAGTACCCACCGATACCGCGAGTCCTGGACTGGGCTCGGGGCTTCCAAAGGACATGAGGCTGAAGAAGGCACAGCATACATTTTGCGTAGACTCACCTATCGTACTATGTTTCCCACTGTCTTCCCATGTCGAGTGTGAACACAAAGCCGCACGCTACAAGCCCGCTCCGGTCATCATAGCTCCCGGCTTGCTAGATCCAGAGTTGTAGAACACTGCTGCGAGTCTTTGACTCGATCTATCCAGATATTGATTAATCCTGTAGGGTGAACTCTCACGACGCTTGGGCACGAACTGCACTCTCGTCTACTTTTGAAACACAGTTAACGTATTGGTGACTTGGCGGCAGAAAGTTCCCTGCCTCCCTGCGTGGCTCCGTGTTTGACTGACTGACTGGCTGACTGACGGTCCGACAGGCTTCTGCTGGCACAAAACAGCGCGCTCTAGCGAGCGAACCACGAGTTAGAAGCGTCCGTCCGATCTTCTCTGGTCTTGCTTGTCTTGAGGTACCACCATCGTCAGTCGGGTTTGCTGATCCGACGAGCAACCGACCAGAGGGTTCTACGCGGAGCCGTGTACGTATCGGCAAATCCTCACCGATGCTTTCGTCTCTCGGGAGATCATCTGCGCTGTGGATCCAGATCGATTCCCGGGGTTACGAAAATCTGGTATTCGAGTTAGAAACGTCGCACAATTATTTCCGAAAACCGGCGACGCGACGTCACGAAGTGCCCATCCCTGGCTCAGCGGCAGCAAGCGATCACTGGTGGAATGAAGGAGCATCGTTGGCGATGAATGGCCTTCATGACTTCACCGCGCTGCAGAAAAAAGGAGAGCTCCGAACAAGCTAACGTATACGAAATACCCACTGAGACTCCACAGGAAACTCACGAATTTCTTCGCAGGCTACTCTGCAGCGATTACGATCATCTTCGTGCTCGGAGAGTCGAACCGAGGAGCATTTTTCTCGTATACTCTATTGGATCATAGATTTTTTTTCCTCCACAGTCATAGGGTTGGTTGTCTCGAATTCTCCTTGGATTGCGAAACTCTTGATGAGTCCTCACATCGATTCTTACGATTTCGGAGCGTCGCGTCGGGTCCTTTACTGCAAGGACTAAGTGAGGGCAATGGACGAACGACTTTGTAGGAACAGCAAAAACCGAACCGATGGAACAATCGTATGTGGGAGCTCGAAGTACGGGGACGGCTTCTCAGCGCTAGAGCTCGAAGCACCGCGCTTTTCGAGAAGCTGCCCCATGCGGATCTTTCTCAGTAGAAGTTTGGGAAGTCCTAGCCGAACTTCTCAGAAGGCGGTTTCGCTTCAAACGGTACCAAATGGGGCCTAATCATCAGCCGGCTAAAATCACCTCATTGGGGCTTTTGCGGGAGACATGCCAGGATTTTGTTGGTTTCTCCCAAGAGCCCTTCCTCAGAATACTCGTTCCGAGCTCGTCATGTCGGAATCAATTCGCCACGGAAGACTCCGCGAACTGGCCGCTGTTGCGAGAAGTGTCGGTCCCCCTGATACCTCCGGAGATAATCCGCGAGCAGAGATACCCCTCGAAAATACGATAAATCGATTTTCAGAGGTTTCCCTGAAAGACGGTAAGAATAAATCGAGTCTAGCCCAAGGATAAGCGCTACCAACCTTGCAATCTGCGAGATTGTAGCTAGAAATATTTCCATCTGAGCACCCCACATCCGAGCGGAGCATTCTCTCTAGAAAGAAAACATCGCACTTTATTGGAAACAGCAGCATAAATCAATGAACCGCTTCTCTCGGCTACATGGGCCGATGATTCAGGAACACTCGGAATCCCGGAGTCTGCATTAGGAATCCCCGAGGAACTTCGCTCAGCATGAGACACTCCGACAGTCCATGAGACATGATGCTCAATTGCGACTCTTCCGAACTCTTGATCTCCCCTGGAGCGAATCAGCCACAGTCATCCTCGAGTTTCAGAGCGCTTGAACTTGGTACAATTGCTGAAGACATGTCCTTCTCGGATGTATCCGCAAAGCACGGAAATATGGAGCCAGGCGTTCTAGGATCAGCCTGATCAAATGTTTGCGCGATTGGCTTGCTCCCTACTTCCATGAGTCACGTGTAGTTCTCGACGTGTGAATCAACAGAGCCGAAACATCGCGACAAGTTCCGCATCGGAATATCGGGCATGTGTTGTCACATGGCCGTGCCACCGGAACGGGTGGACCGCTTAGCAATCAGTTTTGGTTGTTTTAGCGATCGGGCGACAGATCTCCCGGTGCTCCTCCTCTATCGGAGAGGTTCAGGACCTGCCCCGCTAGGCAAATTCTATAAGAATGAGTCGTCAGCCGAGACTCACTGCCATTCTCCGGAGCGTACTCGTCTGCGATACTTGCAATTCCATCATTTGTCTCCGATCCATAGGTCGAAAAACACCCAGCAGAGGCCTACGGTATGCAGCCGAACAAGCGCGTGTGCGTGCGTGAGCGCGACGGGATACGTATAAGATCGCGTCTCCCATCTGCTTGTGATGATGATAGCCGGATCTGAAAAAAATCGTCTGACAAGCGACCCGGCAGCTAGATGCGCGACTACGACGACACGAAAACTTTTGCTCCGTAAGAACGAGTAGAGGCGACGATGACTTTCGCCTTGATCCATCGTTGCGACCGCCCCGACATTCAGCGTTCGGATGCCTCTCAAACCTTCAGAAGTACTGATGCCGATCATTGTTTTATTTTGCAAGTGCTTTGCAGAGTTCGAGCTATACCAGGAATTCCTGTATACGGCAGAACCGTCTCAGAGCGGTGCTCGACCTGAGAAAAGCGATGATGCGGCGAAGGCGGAAGCCATCCCCGGCCCCTGATTCCGCTATCCAGCCGATATCGGGAATCAGAATCTTCACGTCGACTGGAGTTCTGTTCTCGGATCTTTGCCTCAGTCTCCTCCACTCCATCCCCCCCCCACATTTGTCAGCAGCACTATTGCAAGCTGGAGCAGGTTGAGACAGTCAATAAATTCGGAGATCGGCTCCAGTGCTCGAAGTCAGCTTCATTCCCAAACCTATCGCAAATCTATTCTCCGGATCTATCGAGGATCCATTTAGTACGGGACGCTGGTATTCCCAATAGCGTCATGTCGATCTGTTGGGGATGATGGAGCTCCTCGAAGAATCGTCGGCATTCGACCGGCTGTCAATGAGCTCTTCTTCTGGGGACTGTTCACTTTGTTCGCTCGACATTCCCTCGAATACGCTCCTCTTCGGGCTTGGACTCCTATTCTCGGAGCGATCAGAAGCGTCAAAAGCAAAGCTGGCCGTTGCCCCTTCCGTTACAAGCCGTTATCCTGCGCTGAACACTCCGTAGATTAGGTTTCTAAATTTCGATAATGCCTATCCGCAGATATGAAGAGGCCGCATCGGGGAGGAGATTTTCGGCTCGGCGCCTTCTTCTTCGCCTGATCCGCGCCATATACCGACCCGGAACGTTGGCGCGTTGAGATCTACCAAGCCTTCCTCCTCGAACAGATGACTTCCCTCTTGCTGGGCAAGAAGTGCCTTCGAAACAGCTCCACGGGAAATTCAGCCGACCGAATATCAACAGTAGACGAGCTGTGGAGTCCCTTCGCAGGCCGTCGACACGTCGTTCTATTCTCCGAAGGAAATTCGAAACGGCGTTCGAACCGCGTGTTCCCGACAATCTTTGTTCGACGAGTGTTCCTGTTCACCTCATTGAGGACAAGTCAATGTTAGCTCTGAGGAGACTCCTTCAATGATCACTGCTCTACCGGAAAGGTCGGTCGAAGACTTATTTTCCTGAGTCGGATAATGGCGGCTTGAAAGAACTTCCGCGTGCCCTCCTCAAAGATTTTCGGAGTTCTTCCGTGCTTCCACACGATGATGTTCTTCTGAGCTCCGAGAAGCCCCAGTTCATGAGCCGCATTCGGATTGTCGTCCTCGAAACCGAGCTGTCGGAAAAGTCGATCAGGAATTAATTTTCACGAAGAGATTGTTGTTGCTGGACTGCTTGAATGAAAACCTTTGCTTCGAAGCCATAGTTTCGAGTGCCGCACGAGGGAGTTTCAAATCGTCGGGGATCGATTGAGGAACTTATTACTTGGCCGATTCCGCTGCTCAGTCCAATCCAATCAACCTCACTGATCGATCTCGGCATACCGAATCCAGCAGCCAGCGAAGTTGCTGAGGCGATTACGAGCCAAGCAGCTGCTTGCTGTCTTGACAGCTCGACTTGTCCCGCTCTTCGGCAGTGTGTCTGTCCCCATTCAAGGCTGTCCAGTTTCCGCAGACCGGGTCTGCTCCGACTTGGACTGTTCTTTAAACAAGCGGACCGCTGCGGAAACCGGACGGCGTTCAGAATTCGCAGCAGCGAACGAAAGATCCTAGAGGTTCTCGAAGGGATCGTGGGAGAAAGCCGGGTGAATAGTGTTAGATCGACAAGACTGGTAATAGTGCTCGCTGCGGAAGGGTGCCAGCACGAATCGCTCGATCAAAAACCGTCGTCTGGGTGAGCCATTCAAGTCGCCTGGATCAAAATATCCAGATCGTTGATGAAATTCTCCAAGTTTGATAAAGCGAACAGTTCTCAAGGAAATCATGATACCCCGGTGAAACAATGGCTGCGGAATTAAATTTACGGCCCTCGCTAACATCCAAGCGTCTAGAGACTCTCTTAGAATTCGATATTTCATGGCGAGTTCAAGGGTAAGAATCGAGAAGCGATAAACTCGCAGATCATCATGCAGTTTCCGCGGCGGAACCTTGCCTCTGGGACTAGCAGCCAAGAAACCTGGAATTCACCGTCTTCTGACGCGCCTATGCCAGGGACGCTCTCTCAGATCTGGGGTGGTATCCGGAGCGTTCATAATCACCGGGCTCCAATGGTATCGGGATTGTCGATGAGCATCGAAAACGAATAAATTCAGGTAGCGATGTCTTGGTATCGCATGCGCTAGGAGGGCACTGGCAAAAAACTGATTGTATGCTGAGGAGCTCCTTTATCAAGAGCGTCTCCTGCCTCGATATCCGAATCCTATCAGCCCTCACCGATGGAGCAATTCTTCACAATCAGACCCGGAGACATGCGCAGCTCTGTATCGCCCATTTCTTCCGGAGAACTGAATTGCAGGAACGTTTGAAGTCCGCGGTCGAGTGAGCGATACCATCACGGATTCCATCGCGGCAATCGGAATCGATATCCGAATACCGAATCCCGGTGCGCAGCTCTATTCAGTCAGAGGGGAGCTCTCTCTTAGTCTCGAATCGGAAATCGCGCGCAAAGGATCCGACTAATAGGAGTATCGAGATTGTTTCATTCTGCCAATCATCGCATGTTGAGAGACCCTGCGCGCGTCGGATATCGGCCTCCCTGGAAGGATAACCAGCGAATTTCCTCATGGGGGGACTCCGCGGTGCGAGAATCGACTTCGCTGTCTATTGCTCGGAATGTCCAACTACTCGTCGATGGTCGCTTATGCGCTTGAACAAAACTTCATTTCTGAAATCGACCGCGAAGTCCCGTTCCGATCCCGTTTTTGACTCGCACGTTGTAAATGGATGCGTTCCAAGGGCGGTTCCAGTCAGTTCCTGTAATTATGTCGTCGCGTATTATACATTTCATCGTCTTCAGGCGTCCGAGAAGACTCGCAGAAAGAAAAGTTACAGACCACATCGTCCCGGCCTACCATTCGGATAGAAATACGCGAGCATCAATAACCGATTCCGGGTAGTACGCGAGCGGGCTCTTTGGCTACTTCTGCATCTCGAGCGGTACTCGCGGACAAGTTAGGCATCGATTCGATCACTGGGATTATTCCGGGAGACTTTCCGGGGACTTCTCGCCTCTTACGGGAGAAATCTCTGACTTCGTCAAGTCCAAGGCATACGGAAAGATCGGATTCAAATCGAAGGTCTTGCGCAGACAGTTTGAGCGGAGGCAGGTTCATTCGAAGCCTCATGTATGGAATGCCGCCGAGTGGACAATCGAACCGTTTCCCTATGGACCGGACTCCTGGACAATGATCCATGTAGGGGATAGTAAGGGATTGAGAATGAGTCCGGGAACTCTCCTGCTCTGAACTTGTCTTGCGTTCTTTTATTCTGTGTCCCCGCCGGCGGGAGACAGGAGCGGCAGACGGGAGACCCGGTGATTTACCCTGTGAACGGCCGACTCACTGGCCATCCGCCTAACATGGTGCCCTGTTGCGATGAAAATGTACTGTGTACCCATCGCATGCGACGACGTCTTGAATATGAGGTCACCAACGTGAGAAAAGCGTCGTCTGTAGCCTTTTTCGTCTCAGACTATTTATGGAGCGCCCTGCTGGTCTCGGTAATGTCTGCGAGATCTGGGCCCGTTCCTCACGCCGGGGATTCTTCCGAACTCTTTTACCCTCTGGAACTTAACATCTGACAATAAGCCTGACAGGCGAGATTCCGAGAGCGATCCGCGACGCACCTCAAGAGCAATTTCCTTTTCTCGTTTCAGTTAAGACTACCCTCAACGATGTGCCCAATGCTGCCAATAACTTTGTTAGCGATCCTCTTATTCGCTTTCATAGAGCTCACATCAGCTGCCTCCATCGGCACCGGCTCCCTGCGCTTTGAGCCTGACGTGCGTTTCTAATGACTATAGAATACTCGATCAAGGGGCTCGAGTTCCGGATCGAGCCTGCTAAGTATCTCTCGAATTTCCCTCCTAGATGGTCCAAGTTTTCGATGGTCAGAGTACCATGGTGGTCTTCAGATCTACAGAGCCAATCAATGAGAATCCTAGAGATGGATCGAAGCCTACTGTTTTCGAATGCTTCGTGAAGTCTTCATCTGAAGCCACTGCAATCACTGACATGTGTGAAGTACACTACAAGTGAGTTCTCGAAAGCTACCTACTCGCTCGCCAATAGGTTTGAATGGCTGCTTTACAGGATGAGCTCTTAATTTCTCTCAATTTCCACTCCTAGCTCGAGTACGAGACATCTCGAAGGGAGGCTTCGAGTCAAGGGGGACTTGATAGGGCATGCTGTCGCGGACGTTGAGATCAGAGCGGATTCTGTCGAGATTCACCGCCAGCAGGTAAAATAAGTTGGAGTCCCCTGATCAAGCTGAAACTCCATCCGCGTGTTTCCGAATCCTGGGAACGGGAAAGATTGCTAATCTGTTCGCCCTACCTCTTGCAGCTGTCCATAACTGTTATTCTGTACAAAACCGTTGTTCAGCACATATTCCTTGGGAGCGTCATACTCCTCGTCTCCCTGAATTATGTCAATATGGGTTGTGCGATAGACATGCATCTGATAAAAGAGACCCTGAAGAAACCGATCGGGCCGATCGTAGGACTCGTCACGCAATTCGGTGTGATGCCTTCGGTGAGATGATCGCAAAGAAACTTGTGTCCGCTGCCATCAGAGGCTGGCTTTTGGAATCACCATCCAATAAAATAAGTCTTCTCCGACCAGATCGCGTACGTCGTTGCGACGAACTTCCTCGATGAAGCTTATCTGAAACTAGGACTCTTCACCTTCGGCTGTTCCCCGGGCGGTAAGCAAATGCGTCGATGATTCGACTAGGCGCTGCGTCTAGGCGCTGATTGCCTCGGATGCTCGGTGTCGAAGCGTATGACGTCAGTCTTACCCAATCGCAGGTGGAGCTTCCAACATGTGGACCGTGCTCTTAGGTGGAAACCTCGACCTCTCTGTCACGATGACCTTCATATCGACGATAGCCTCTCTAGGTTTCATGCCTTTGTGGTTATTCACAGCCGGCAAAACGTTTTTCAAGTGAGTTCGGTCAAGTCGATATCGTCGAAGTCTGTTCATCGCCTCCTCTCGAAGTCTTTGCTATAAGTGTAATTGTGTAGCGTTCCTCCTCCTCGAGGCGTTATTGGTGAACGTTAAGACGCTTCTCACAATCAGCTTACTCGTTTCAGGGAAGCTGCTCCGAAAATCCCGTTTCAGAACATCGTATCTGGTCTCGTCGCCATGGTGATCCCCCTCGGTGTGGGTCTCATCATGCAAAGGTGACTTATACGACGCTCGATACCACCAGATTGGAGGAGTCTTCCCCTCGAAACATTCTGATAATGTTTTTCTTCCTCTACGCAGGTACTGTCCGAAAGGCACAGCGTTCTGTCGTAAAATTCTCGCGCCTTTCTCGGTGATGATGATCATATTCATAGTCATTTTTGGAACCTACGCAAACCTCTACATGTTCCGTCTCATCACTTGGGAGGTGAGTGAGGCGCTGGGACCGTAGGTTTTCGATCGAGGCTGAGGGGTTCCTCCAGTTGTACATGGAAGCTCTTGATGAATCCGGAGTTAGCACGTACTGAGACATTGATCGATTCTTTTTTCCCAGATCGCGCTCGCAACTGTACTGAATGTTTGGACTGGTTTCCTGATCGGTATAATCTTAGCTCGCGTGATTGGACTGCCCTGGAGGGATGCCATCGCAGTGATGGTCGAGACCGGTATCCAGAACACCGGTGTGGCCATTGTGCTCTTGGGTGTGTCTCTACCGAAGCCCGACGGCGACATGGCAACGGTAAGACTCTGCGACACACCTGTTCCCTCCGACTTGATCGTAAGCCGAGACGAGGGCCTACACTCCTCGCCGAAGAGAAGCTCGGTCGAGGAGCTTGTCTCGAATTTTCTGTATTTCCACCACGGAGACATTCGAGGCTCTGCGTCGGATGGATACTGGTCCGAATGCTCAAGGTCTCTGAACGCATGAGGCTACGATGCCGATCATGAATATTTCTGAGAGAGGCATGTGCTCGAGAATCACTTAATTCATGACTATCTAGCCGAAGCAGCTGCATCAATGCAGAACTCGCCGACATAGCTGTGTGGGTGTATGCCGCTGCATGGATTGTTGACGAATTACCCAGAACTCGGCTGCTGGTATCGGCGAAGGACTCGCCTGTGTTGACCGAGTGCTGAAATCCCTAAATGCCGTAACTTCTCCCCAGATTGTGCCAGTGGCTGCCTCTACGGTTACACCTATCCCTCTCACGATTCTATGGCTGGCTCTGAGGTATCTACGATGCCCTTCGTCGAAGGATAAAGTCAGAGACATGAGCAACGGAGAGGTGAAATTTCAACCCATAGAGACCGCGTAGGTCATTTATTATACGTACCTGTGATATGTAGGAACCGACCAACAGTATGCGACGAGAGTCGTGTGGCAGGAACTCTGACACACAAAGATCCATGATATACATATATTGAAGCGCACGAATCGATCACGGTGCGCCGTATAATTCGCAAAGACTCGCAAATCGGCCACCGGTTTGAGTTGCCATATGATTGAGGACTTCCTCGATGCCACCAGGTCTCTGAATGATTCTCATTGCTCTGACGAATGCTGTTTATTGGTTGATTTCATGAATCCGATGTTCCAAAAGAGAGAAAGAGCGAGGAGTTGTTACCCTAGAATAAACACGAAGGAAGTCCGATGGATTCGATTAATTTGTTTTCCTTGCTTTCCTCTGAACTTGAGAGATTTCCTCCCGGTATCGACATGATTTGACATGATCATGCTCCGGATTTGCTGGTACAGACTCAAAGAGCGGGTGGAACCCGGAAGAAGCTCGAGGGAGACGTCTAACCGCTCGGACCTCGCTGCGGCCCGGTCGGAGCCTGTTACTTCTCACCAGATGACGCACTTTTTAGCCCGATATACGACGAGCTTCTCATTCGGCGGCTTTCGACTGCAATGACCGTCAACTGATGTCTTTGTCCGCTTGAGATCGACTTGGACCGAGATTTGTGATGAAATGATTGCGAAAAGATACCGAGCTCTCGAATGTCATTCTCCAAGCAGTGACGTCGATCAAGGTCAATCAAGGATCAAGCCAATTTAGGACAGAAGTATCATCGGCAGCGATGTAAGACGCTGCTCTCAGGTGGCCGGTTTGGAACTTCATTCATCGAAGACTCGACATCCATGAAGAGCTCGGCTGCATTAAGCTCGAAGCCCGACTTTGTCAACGCTCATAAGTCATGATTCATGACCCATTACTCATTAGGTTGACCTCGATTATATCGCTTCGAGATATGTGTTGCTCTGATTGAGATCCGATGCTCTGGTTTCTACAATCCGGAGGAGGGTGTTCGCTTCCACCCTGGGGGCACCCTTCGTATTCCGGTTTTTGCTCTGGGCGTCGCGGTTCGTCGAGCTCCGGACGTGAGCTCGTCTGAGACATGCATTTACAATCCAGCCGCGAAACAGTGAGCTCCGCTCTGTAGAACCCATATCGGGACCAGGCTATCTCGATTCGAATCAGCGGAGGATCTGATTATGCGGAGCCCAAATCAGCGGAGCCCGATTGATCGAGACTCTCCGGGAGCGAAGCGATTGAACGGAGGATCCCATAAGGCGGAATTCATTTTATTCATCGTATGTTTACCTTAATCATCCTCCATGAAGCTTATCCATGCAAGTCGTCAACGATCCTCTTATGAGACATCTCAGCGACGTCTCCACCAGCCGATCCAGAAAGTATTAATGAGCTTCAATGATGATTGGGGGGAGAGCTCCTCCGGATCGATGTAGATCAGCGGTTTCCGATTTCTTCTCAGCCCGGGATGCCCTCCGAAGTCCGGAACCGTGCTCTCTCCCCCCAGCGATGTCACTGCGAAAACACTGGTTGGTGGCTTCCGGAAACAAGTGATTTCCTCAACTTCTTCATTGGATGAGCCCTCTCACTGAGTGAGAAATTATAATGCGTCATGGCTGGTCCATATTCTTGCATGCTATGGGATCACAACATCGCTCATTTTGACCAGCCTCCGGGGTCCCCGGGAACGGGATCTGGGACCACGGAGTGAATCCCCGATGTGGATATTCCGACATCATCTTCATTTGAGGCGTCCTCCCGGATCATGCTGAAAACATCGCACTGATCCTGGGTGCTCTGATTCGGAGCGATCAACCGAAAGATTCATTAGCAAATCTTTCCTTTCCTGCCTTTACGCAGGATCCGAGTGGCGGCGCGAAGGAGCGCAGCTGAGCGTTCAGAGTTTTCGGTTTCGGAAATTTCGGAGCGATGGAGTCCCAAGTATTACGTCTACACGACGTCGCGTCGGTCGGTCGTCCCAACCGATTCTCAGACTCGAATGCGGATCAGAAAACTGCCACAATTATGGTGCTCGGGTTGTACGTTAGAAGGCAGGTTTCGTTCAGGCAGTAGGCAGATATTCGACGCCAGAAGTGCGAATCCTCGAACGCATCCGATTCCACGCTGATTCGAAACTCGCGTTGCGCTCTAATATCGGGGCGCTCTCATCGTCGGCGTCGTCGGTCTCGACCTTTGAGACTCTGCGTCCCGTGGGTCAGATTCCGGTCGCAGCTGAAGATCCAGTTGACGTTGCTTCCTCTTCCCTATGGTAACCAAGTAGGGGTGAAGCTGAAGCCGCCCGAACAACAAAGGAAGGCCTTCCATTAAGCCGACCGCTTTCTTTTGTTGAGCTTCTGATGCTCCTCACGTAGCGGTCAGTAGGAAGATCGAGCTTGGGACGTAAGGGAAGGTAAAAGGTGCCATAGTCGTTGTGATGCGGCCATACTCGAGCTCTCTCGATGCGTTGTCTTTTCCCTGAGGATATGGGAAAAATGGACTTCTCCCACTGCAGGGGACACGGGACCAGTGAATGATCCCCAAGTTCCCCCTGAAGCCCGGGAAACACAGTGCTCGAGCGAGTAGATTCATGTGGAGAAGCGGAGAGCCACGAGAGGAACCATGTCGCAACCTGGGGTTGGACGGTGGAGTCTCACGAATTTCCCTCCGAATGATTATGGTAATGCCGTGAGGAAGTTCTGCATCTTTTCAAGTTTTCTGTGATCAAAGTGTTCTAATGCTTACGAGGAAACATCTGTGGATCGCGATAATCAAAAGAAAGACACAAGGCGGGAAGGAGTGTCCCAGTTAGATTATTCTGTACTGAAGTAATGCATCACAAAGAGAAGGCGGAGTGAATCGCCTGTCCAGAAGATATTCTAAAAAGCGGGTAGCAGAGAGCTACAAACAGAAGATGGGCTATAGAAACTCAGCATAAGCTTAATAGGCATCCAGCTTAATCGAGACACAAGAGAGGGGTGACAGGGACTCGAGGTCGTTTCCAGGTGATCGCCATAAGAAGCGGTCGCGCGGAAATCAACGCATAACTCAGTCGATTGGCACCGTGATGAGACGTGAGGTACGTACTCCATCTTTATACACGGTCGCGAGGCGTCTCAAGCCTGGCCCGAGAAGAGTGAACGCAGGAGACTCGTCAAGATCATACACGGGGTTATCAGGCCGAACAAAGTTTCAAGAGCTCTCCGCAGCCGATGTTTGTGAAGCAGGCTGTCTTTTTCCGCAGGTGAGGTTCGCTGTTATCCTTGCCCTAGTGGCTTGCGCTCGGGATACTCTCGCATCGCACTCTCATAAAGAAAGGATATATCCATCGGGATCTGGATCGGTGATTGTCGTCTACAAGAAAGACCACGGTGATCACAAAGATAGCCACTCGTCTTCCTCACGCGACGGATATACTCCTTCCATCCGCGGAGGCCATAGGTGAGTATCCAAGGAGTGTTCAGCGCAGGTGGACTCAGGAATTCCTCGGGGCCTATCTAATCCTTTCAACCTCCAGTCGGTTCTTGGACGATGATCCAGCACGTGGGGATGAATTCCGTTACATCAAGGCCAAGGACATAAGTGAGGGACCGCATTTGGCAGCCCCGGGCAAGACCCCAAACCTCCTCCCGACTCCTGGATTCATAGAAGGAAGGCCCCACTGCGCCCGCGAGCTCGATCTTTGTGCTCACAATCATGACTATCCTCTGTGAGTTGAGATCCATAGTCTGTATTCGCCGGTGAGGCGTCGCCGTCTCGTCGGAATCTGCATTAGAGCTCGAGTGAAAATGAAATATCGCGCTTATTTTCCAGAGACAAAGTCAGTGTCATCGTAGACCGCTTCTACTCGCATACATACGACCTCTACCACTCTCTCTATCAAACCCCTCCGCATGAGGTGAGTAAGGACCCGGTCTCAACGTTTCGGGGTTCACCATCCTCTCTGGCAGCAATTCGCTCAGTCGAGATGGAAACGCCCAGCTTCCATTCAAAAGTATGGATAATTCGCAGGTTCAATGGGTCGAAAATGTCACGAACGCTTACACGCATGAGAAACACCACGGAGACTTCGCTTGTAAATCCGAAGCCACATACCTGAGGATCGGTTGGGCTAAGAACTACAAGGGTCACTGGAAAGCCGTCGTCAACACGGAACGGTGAGCATCTCTCTCTCTTCATGCATCAGATAGCGGGAGAGGTTTGCTGATTTTTGAACATTTTGCGAGAGCAAGTGTTTTGACGTAGCGTGATGGCGATCCCCAGCCTGCTTCCAATCGAATCTCAACATCGATTCATAGCTCGTTTCGACGTTTACGCGGGGGTTGAGGCTGGAAGGGGGACATCGAGGGAAAGTGTAATCCTCAGACTGAATGATGTTTTCGACCGTGATTCGCAGTTTCCCACAAACGGCGCGCATCGAAAAATGTAAATATCGCGAGAAACCCTGCGACTACATGCCCCCGTGCTACAAAACTTCATGCAAACAGCGGGAGATGCTTTACCCTCTGATCGCGGTCAATCCCTACGATTCGAGTCAGAAGCCCCTCGTTGACCTGTTCCCTCTGCCGAGTGGATGCGTCTGTTATGTAGACGACACATTCTTCCACAAGAAGTAGCGTCAGAGTCCAACGCTTCTATCAGGTCACAAACCCCATCTTCGCACTGAACGAGGGCTGTTTTGCTCAAATGCTTGAGAGCTATTTTCTCGCAAGGTACGTAAAGTCTCACAAGGAGTGCATATGTCAACGGGCGTCACCGTTGAGGACGGTGACTTTTTCCGCTTCCTTGCAGTCTCCGGTAATTTCGAGCGCTTGGTTGTTTCACAGAATCACGGACGGAATGCCGCAGTTTTCATTGGCCTTCTCCCGAGGATTGATTCATCTGTCTACGAATTCGATGGAGGTATGAATCAATCTCCGGAGCTCTCCACGAGTCGATCTCTCAAAAACTGACCCCCCCAGATCGGATCGGAGGGGGACCTCAGGAACTGTCAAGACGACCCGAAGCCGACATTTTGATCTGAGTGCTCGATCGATCGGTACCACGCTCGAATGAGGAGCTGTAATCCAATTGAAAATTTCAACGGAGGAAATTCGTGGCTCAAGTTTGGTTCCTAATAAAAATATCTTTTTTTTCAAAGGACGCCGAGATGTTTTGTTCCTCGATCATTCCAGAATGTACATGTCAGTTGTGTTCTGTTTCCATCTTCAGGGCTCCACTCTTGCCCGTGAAGTCCTTATGCATCGAACGCTGTATCACCAGCCCCATGATCCGAGTTCTGATCTCCACTCCATATTGTTTTGATCATCAGAAATATATACAACGTCATGAGCAATGTGAAGATCAGGAATGTGATGAGAAGGGATTTCCGCGACCTATCCTGCACGCGGAGAAGCTTCTTTTCCAAGATACGGAAGTGCTTCCGTGCTTCATTGGCCTAGAATACGGTATGTTTCGAGATTAGACAAGGAAACCAACTTCTTCACATCAATAATTCAGATCGGTTGCAAAATTAAAAAAGAAGATGAGGTTTCGAGCCCCAGCTCGTATGCTGAGGTCGACTCGAAGCCAGTGGCCTTCGCGGGTTTTTCCAAGCCATTCCAATCCCGTCCTAGGCGAGCCAGCCGTGAGACCCTCTAAACGGCATGGTCGAAGAGCACATTCCAGAGGAGAGGAGCAAAGCATCAAACTTCAACGTCGATAATGAAGTCTCTTCCCGATTTCGACAGACCTGGTCTTGGAGTTTGGAGCGTTCCTCAGCATCGATGAATGAAGAGTTCTTGAGACGAACTTCTAGAGCGTCGAGCTTGTACCGAAAATCTTCGAGCTCAGCCCTTTGTTCGTCAATAGATTCGTAGTTCGAGTTTCTATCACGGCTTGAGCGATTCATTTGGGCAGAAACTGTCAGAGCTTCGTTCCTGAACCGAGGTGTTGTTTTCGACTTCAGCTCTTCTTATGAGCGGGAGCAGACGACGGGAGAGGATCGAGAGATATGCGACGGATTCGGCGGCTTTTTATTTCGAAGTAGCTCTCTTGGAGCCTCGGGGACCCCTTTGCGTGCATTTCTCCGACTGAGAAACCGACGCGGGCCACGATTCAATGCGCAGTCACAGAAGGCAGCTTTCAGAATACGTCGACCACTAGGACCTTATTTGGTATACCAAGCGGGTCTTCAGTAGCGTCTCCGGTTTCTGATGTCAGCCACAGCGCATGCGTCGGTCTTCGAAAACGCGCGCAGCGCTGAGCGGCTAAGACTTCATCTCTGCCGACCCAGAAGGATATGGGAGACCTCTAAGGGTGATGAGAGTAATTCCCCGAGCCGTGGCCGGGAGGCGGCTCCGAAGATTCAGAACTACGTCCGAGGATATCTCGCCTTCGGTACCACTCGGTGTTGAAACCACAATTACCCCAGACGTAAGGACGGTCCCTACTCGCGAATATCCCCTAATGGACCTGTGCGACCTGGAAAGCTCTTTTGCCACCTCGGAACAAGCGGATACAAGATTTTAGGAAGAAGCAGAACTTCCATCTGGAAGCAGCTCCTCTCGAACTTCACGAGATTCGATGACGAAACGAAGCTCGCCCCTTACCGATCAAACTACGCCTCTCGAAAGATTTTTCTCGGGTTCTGCTTTCACACATTCCGTGTACGTGGGAGAAGCGTTCTGTGGCCGAATGCAAGCGTGAATCAGCGGTGAACTCATGAACGCTGCCGTTGCCTACAAATAAAAACATATTGCCCGCAGCTATTTCCAAATCTATACGATGTTCGAATAAGGCCATCGAAACGTCACCCCCACCGTAGAACCTTTCTGCAGCATTGTAGCCGGCCGAGCATCGATGATCTCCAAGAGTTTATTCGAGGGAATAGTAATTCGAAATCTGGAACCTCGCATCACCCTAGAATAACGTTCGTTCGCTTGTAACGCAAAATGAATTTCTCCTTCCGGGCAATCCTCCTTCAGCAACAGAGACTCTAGTTTCTCCACTGCTCCGTGGGGACGAATGCGGGGTCTCGAGCGGAAAGCTTGAATCGTGAATCAATTCGGAAGTTCGCCGACTGAGATGTCATATGGACATACATGTAAATTCACTAGAATGTCACTAGAATCTGGAGATAAGCAGGAAAATGATCAAAGAACAACTGTATTGTAACCATAGGCATCACCGACGGCGAGCATACCTGCGCCAGAGAAACGGCCGTTATGATATCCTTGAAACAAAATCGGATCCGAAGGGATCGTGGCTTGCTTTTTCAAATCGCACGTAGACGCATGGGTAGGTTCTTCGATTCTGGAGCTATCCGGGAATGTCGGACTGAAATTCACCCCCGAAAGATGCAGAGCTTTCTGTGTTCAGAGACTAGAGTATGAGCCGGAGACTATGATGCCCAATGCCGACATGGGTGGGGAACCGCATGGTTGCGTAGATTCCATTGGCCCTAAGGTTCCAACAAACCTTGAGTGGTTGTAAATGAGAAAAAGTCTGGGACTTTCGCAGACTCAGAATTGAGGAATTCATCCGCCTGATTGGTTGTAATAGCTAACTTTTGGGTATGGTGAAGCTCCCTAAGTGGGGGAGCGTCAAAGAGACAGTGATGTCCATAATCAGATAAGGAGACGTGTATGATGATTAGAGCCCGTGACTTCATGCAAAATGCATATAATGCATAAAAATGCATATTCTGGGTTTTTCCTCCTGAAAATGCATATTCTGCGCTTTGGGGCATAATTCTGCATATCCCATATTTTCCCCATCGATTCTCGCGGGTCTCGACGCTGAGAGCGACGTACAGCCATGGTCAACCGAGAATAGATGAGAACGGTGATGAATCGGATACATCTTCCCGGATTTAGACAAGTTGGTCTCCAACGGGAAGAAAATTTTCCTGAAGTCTGCCGATCGAGTGAGCACATTCCGCGAGATCCGCCCCCGGAGTGCCGTTGCCACCCCAGCCAGTTCTGACAAGAGTGGGGTACCTGGTTGAACGCAGCCGTCTATTACGCCGACCACTTCCATTCTATTTTCGAAGGTTTTGTAAGCTCTGGACGTCA